TATTATTCCCCTACTTAGCAATATTTATATTTCTTATGTATCATCATATGTGGTTTTATTTTAATTTAAGAAAACAAAATATTACGTAGGTAGCACCGTGGAGTGTAATCCATTGAAAACCAATTTCAAACTTGATCGTTTATTCATTTGACCTCAATTTTATGTAAACTAGTCTTTCAACTTATGTAATAATACATTGGAGATGCTCTTATTTTCACTTATTAAAAGATTATCTATTAGCCTAATTCATCTCTCTGTCATATTCTCTTCCCGCAATATCACCAATCCCTCGTCCCATCTCGTCCTGCTTCCCCTTTCATTCATCCTTATTTTTAGCCTTTGGTTTGCTCGATGCCTAATATTTCCAAAGTCATATGCATGGATAACCTTGCCGGTTAAAAGTTAAAATAAATAATATATCAACAGATGCGACAACCTAAATATTCTTCTCAATAATTTTGACATCGTCTACAAAGAATACTTATTCTTTGCTCCATTCTACCAAGAGATTCAAATGAACTGTAACACACCAGTTAATTTTACCACCCCGACAGCCCCACCATGCACAACCTCTCAAACTGCACACCACCTCCCGACCTCCGACTTTGCCATGGTCCATACCACGGTGACGACTCTTGTTTTCCATTAGGCCACCGCATTGCTCCCAACACCAGAAATGTATTCGCCTTGAGTTGATTGGGCTGATTTTAGCTAAATTTGAAATCCTATACCGAGTGTGGTGGGTGTTGACTTGTCAGAATTAGCCCCTGTTTGGTAATCTTTCCTTTTTCTCATATTCATTTTCAAAACGGTTGGCTGTGTATGTATAAATAACAAAAATACAAAAACTAGTTATTGTAACATGCTACTAACTGTGAACTGAACACAATTGCCATACAACGCCAAAGAGAACGTGTGTAACTTTCGTGTCTGAGAAGTATGAAGATAGATTATTCAATACTACAAATATTGAATTTCAATTCTACGCACCACCAAATAATATGTTAAGATTTGGGGGTCCATCTTCAAAGGTCAACCTTATTAAGAGGAGTACGTAGCCACTCAAACGAGCCACCATCTTACAGGGGCGTGTTAATGGATATATACCACATCAATAAATGATGTTGACATAGTATGACCGGAAACATCCGGTAACAGTGGCGGCGAGGAGTTACTGTCGGCACCGACTATTAAGGTATATAATCCCACATCGAATAAAGGTGTTGACATAGACCAATTAATAAAGATCTTGGGCTACTCCTCTTAACAAAGGTTGACATTTTAAGATGGACCCCCCAAATCTTAACATAATACAAATATTGAATTTCAATTCTACGCACCACCATATATTGATATGGGATGCCAGAATTGAAAAGGCTTCAATTGACTGTCAATGGATAGTAACTGGAATGCGTATTTAATCACATTAAACATATAAGTATTTAGTATGTTAATCGTGATGCGTGTGTAAACTTATTGCAACCAACGTAGCCTCGTACCTCCAAATCTTCTTCGATGTTCTTCCAAGAACTTCAAGAATATGTGGTACCTCCAAACTTTTCTCTTATTTGATTTCTAGTATGTGCGCACTAATGAATTAGCATACAGTAAAATAATCACATTAATATATAATAGAAAATATGTATACAATCAATACGACAGAATGTCCGGATTCATTGCAATAATTTTGATAATTGCTATCCGTTTTAATTTTAGATATTCAATAGTGAAGTCCTTGTTCTATTAATTTAATCCCCAATTATCGAACACAATTGATTTACATTCCAATTATTTAGTTCTTACACGTTACTCTTGATTGCTCAAGATTAATTAGCTCCTATATGGGAGCGATTTTTATGGAATTTCAAGAAAAAATTGAACGTTATACAATAGACATGGTCTCATATAGCAGCATTGATTGACCACCTTTCTCCAATTCATGCACATGATATTACTTAAATAGCCCTCCATAAGAACCCCACACTAGGGATGTCAACGAGTCGAGCCGAAACTTTTTGCTCGGACTCAGTTCGAGTAAAAATACTTCGAGTTTTTTTTTTTTACCTGAGCTGAGCAAAAGCTCTGCCAAAAAATTTCGGCTCGACCGGAGCTTTTGGCTCGGACTTTTGTGAGTCGAGCCGGGTAGGGGCCCGAGCTGATTCGGGTTTTTTTTTTTTTAATTCGTGACAAATCTAGTTTTTTTTTAAAAGAATTTAAAATTTGTGCAATTTATACTTATTATAAATAATAACTAAATATTAACATATAAAAAAATTACGGCTAAAATTAAAAAAATATTTTAAAAAAAGTGGCAAAAAAGTTATTTTTTTATTTTTTAGGCACACAGGCCGGCTCGACTCGAGCGTCGCCCTAGAATGGGGCTTGCCCCCACTGAGCCTAGAGCCGGTCCGGCTCGGGCTTTTTCTGGGCTGAGCTCGAGCCGCGCGAGCCATTTTTTCATTCCTACCCCCACACCCACCCCACAGCATATTACAAGGGTTTTTTCATGGCGACCGTATGGGAGCATTTGTACTTTATAATGGTCAGTTTTTTGCTTAAAATCCGCTCTTAGACGTTTAGACTATATCTACTATCGATCGAAATTGCACTCTCAAATCAATTAATGAAACTTATTTCAATAACTAATTCATCTCAACACATTGTTAACAATTTGCCTCCGTCAATCGTTAAATAATTATGAGTGACTAGTTTGATCACTTAGTATTTATTTTTCACTTTGCAATTTATTGTGATCCTATCACAATAAAGAGATTAACAATCTCATTGTTAAACTACTGAACTTATATTAAATTGCTCGTTGGCAACGACCATTCCCATTATTGCAATTATCAAAATTATTATAATAAATCTGGACATCCATAGATGTGTTACAATCTATTAAGATTGGGAAGTTTGTCATAAAAGGAAAATTGTAGAAGAAGAATATGAATGTTTCATTCTCTATGTTAATTAATTTGATTTAATAGTGCGAAATGGAGATAAAAGTATAATATTCTTTAAATTTATTGGAAGAACGTTGAATAAAACTTAGGTACGGGACTACATTAATTACAAGTTTAAAACACACATCAAGAGTAACATATTAAACACTTCTGTATTCAATTTGATTTAAGTTACTATCAATTGACAATCAACCTATACTTTTTTTATTCCAGCATTCCATATCAATATATGGTGGTGCGTAGAATCAAATTCCAACAAAGACATGGAACACATAAATATACTTCTAGATCTTTAAAGGGTAAGGCTAAGGGGAGTATCCTGAATAGGGTATGCATTGTCTTATTATATGATGATGCGCTCTTGACTTTATACTGCCCCTAGAAGACATTAAGGATATATTAACAGTTAGTGCAATACTTCGCTTCCTTAATCTTGTCTAGTCCACCATACAAGATAGGCCATGAGAGAAAGGTGCTAACACTAAAGAAGAATTCATAATATCTAAGAATTATAAAATTAAATGCCATTTCCATCATTAATCATTAGGCGGAAGTATGAAACGTAGCATATTTGCCAATGGAAATTATCTCGTGAGATGTCATGTATATAATTTTTACACAGATCTCTCGTGTTTTCAATTATAATATCGTCACATATAGACAGACTCACAAAATAAATGCATGCCAAGTTTGCCAATTCATCCTTTTGTCTTTGTACTCGAATCCATCAAGCTTTAAATAAATTTTCAACATGTTCATTTAGATATTTAGATACACACAAATAACCCTTTTATCATAAGCAAGGGACAAACGTTTCTTTCTTCTTTTTGTGCTCCAGTTTCCGCCGTCAAATTTTTTTGTTTAAAGAAAGCTTTAACTTTAATTGTAAAGAGTGTACTAGAATAAAAACACAGCTTAGACTTCCATGAAGCACGAGTGGAGAGTTTACCACAGTGGCAACCTGACAAGTAATAATACATTGAGATAGTTCCACTGTTGGTAAGAAGAAGCATAAAGAATAAACAAAGACAAACAAATCCCCACCAGAATAAAATATGTTTGGTATGCTGGACTAGAAAGGACAATAAACAAACATATTCTTTAGTTGACAAAGATTTCAGTCCTACTATTCCTAAGCTGTAATTATTTTTTTATTTAAGAAGTAATTTCCATACTGCATTTGGAAAACTCAATCTTCACCACATGTTACAACACCCAGATTTCTATCAAGTAAAACAACAAATTGCTAATGATAAAATAATTAATTACCTCTCAAAGTTGCATAAATTATTATCTAAAGAAGCCAATGGACAAAAAGAAAGGAAGTATAAGTTCAAAAAACTAGTAGAAGGGATTGTAAAGGCAAAGCCAATCATCTATTTGTGCAAATCACTTAATCAAAAAAGGAAATAGTCTTGCTGAAAAGTTACCTCTGTTTCTTGAAATCTTCTCCTTGTGCTTTTCTTTCCACTACATGACAAGCTCTCTTCATTTTTTTCGACTTATTGTTGTTTCTTTCAACTCGAACAAGGCTGTCAATCCAACGACACGTGTCTTCAGAGCATATTGTTATGTATTTGGAAAGTAGGTTTTTCTGCAATGATTGAAATTCGGAAAGTAATTTTTTCTGCAATGATTCCTTAAGTCGCTGGTATATTTCACTGGCACCCATTCCCCCTTCACCATCAGAAATTGGCAACCTTAACTTAGTCCAAATATCACTATTTTCACAGTCCATTATATTCCATAAATCATGAGCGTCCCCCATATAAGTCCAATCCAAACAGTAGCAACAATACTTCAAATGATGGCAGCATACATCGAAACCCCTTGGGCAATGACACTAATTGAAACACCTCGGTTCTAAGACAGAGGATAAGAAGTGAAAAGGTAGGATTTGATAGTTTTCTTTCCCTCACAATCCAGCTCATAGAACCATTGGCAAAACTAGGCCTACTCACTTCCGAAAAACGAAGTGGAACTTTTTCAATCTTTTTCCAAGTATCCAATTTCAGGCTATAAACTTTAACTTCACAATCACCATTCATTCTCATCATCAAAAACCAATCTTACAACCTTGTAGTCATCCATAACATTGTCATATCCAAACCCATAACTCAATATATATGGCCGGTATTTTGTGTCCTGTGAGGCCTCAATCTCAACAGGGGTGAATGGCAGTATCCTGTGACTAAGTGCAGACGGATTCCACAAAACAATTTTTTCATAGGCATATCTGTCAAATTAATATCTTAAATTCCACAAAACAATGTTTTCATAGGTATATCTGTCATATTGATATCTTAAACAAATTAGGAATCTGCAAGAGCCTATAAAACTCACCCATGTCTGAAAATACGGTACAGGAGGCTTAATCTCTTGAACATCTGAAATTTTGAATCCCAAATCAAAACTTATGGCATAGAATCTAAAATCACGTCCAACATCTTTCCACTCACAATCTCTACCAATAGCAAGCATCTTGCGAGATTTGATGTCGTTTAATGATTTATTCAGATGCAATTGGGTGTCCTCAATTAAAATTTTAATAAAATCCACTAATATTTAAGTGTTTCGAATTGAGATTTTAATGAAATTCAATGAAATTATTTAAAATTTAGGTATCCTCAATAATTAGTAAATTTATAAAAAATATATTAATAGAGGAGATGTAAAAGATTTGGATAGATTTCAAGCTTAAAAATACATATAATCAAATCTTTAAAAATTTTACCATATTTGATGAAATTCTTATGAGATTTGTGAAAATCTATTCAAATTCATGAAATTTATTAGAATTTATAATCTTTTAAAATACATCAAAATCTTAGTTGAGGATACATCCGTAATATTACATAATAAATTCAAAAAAAATCTTATTTTTTAATCTCATATCTATAATATATTAAATATCACATGAAATGATAATCAGTTTTTGGACGATTCTAATCCTACTATAATTCAATTATTTCAATAATACCTTACTTTTCATTTTTTTTTTAAAAATGTATTTAATTTATTTAACCATTTAATTGCTATTAATGTACATGTACATTTAACATATTCATTTCACATGTATATTTTCATTAATGTATGAATTTCCTATTATGAATTTTCAATTAATTAATATTCACATTCATTTAATTAATATTTATCTTCATTTATGCATTTCAGCGCTATTAAATCTAATTATAAGTTAATTAGAATTTCACATTCAAGAATGCATTTCATTTTCACATTCATGTATGTTAATTAACATCAAATTTTACTTAACTAAAAATTAAATAAATGATTTAACATTCATTGTCAAGTATATATTCCATAGTATTAATTCTAAATTAATTAACATTCACGCAATTTTTACAACACTTATAAATCATTTCATAATAACGTGTAACGCACGTTCAACGTTGATAATTCTTTGAAAAATCATTATTCATCCAAATCTATTTCTAATAGAGTCCAAATGGGGACTTAAATTAAAGTCAATAATTTTAATAAATATATTTATGAAAGGAATAATTGCATGATCTCAGCCTTTCAAATCTTTACAATTATTTTCTTAACATTTCATTTATTGTACCAGTGGTCCCAAGCAGTTCAATTGTGTGCAGTTGGATTACAAAGGGATGAAATCCATCAACTTTTTCGTTAGTTGATCAAAAAATAATTTCGACCATATTTTAACATTTTTAAAAGGATGGAATGGTAATTTTCGTATTTTCATAAATAAACAATTAAAATATTAAATGAAAAAGAAAATATAGAAAAGGGAAAATAAACTGAATCCTTATGGCTTCTCCAAAGATTGCACCAAAGACCAAAATGCACCAAATATTGGTGCAAAAGCTCTCCAATATGACATCAAAGTATGCTATTTGGTGAAACACTATTCACTTTGCACCAAATGGGGCAAAATCAAATTTACCTTTTTTTTTTCATTTGCGAAACTAGTTGATGGAATGTATTTGTGTCATTTGCCTTATATATTTTTTAATACAAAAATTTAATA